AACTTGTTTTTATCTTTTTAGTTCATTTTTATACGCAGTTGGGTTTTTATCTATTAATATTATAAAAATGAAAGTTTAGATCGAAGTTTGGATGTTTTTAAATCACGCCAGAACGGCTGAACGAATCTGGATGAAATTTAACACAGAGATAGATAGAAGAAAGAGATAGTCTGGAATAGCACATAGGCTACTTTTTATCCCGTAAAATGTACAGTTCCCGTGGGGTAGATATGATTCATAATTTAATTTCCTAATGTGTGTTTATATGTAAGAAGCTAGCTCCAAAATTTTTGATTGTATTGTAAAAATATGCTACTTTAGCTATTTAAGCTACGTTATCCATTATATCAATGATATAGGAAAGAGCTAAACTTATTTTGGATATTTTAAATGATGCTAACATAGTTACAGCCAGAGATACTCGACGTAACATGTAAACAGTGTATTTAAAAAAAAACAATATCATGTCACATTTTATCTAAGCATTAATTGTACGGTTTAGTAGATATGATAGTAGATAAGCTATAAGTGTCTTCTATCTTAATTATGTATAAGTATACTTTGTATTGTATGAAAAACTATCGACCTGACAAGACTTTTACCGCTATTTAATATTGATACTTTACCAAACCAACATTATTAGTCTTAAAGACCATATAAATTATCAGAAGATGCTTAAGATTTCGGTAAAACATATTAATACTAAATGCTAGTTAGTTGTGCCAGACTTCCAGGAAGCAATAGTTAAGAAATACCTAAATGAGTCTTTTCATTCTGCAACAGGCCAGAACCTAAATCTAGGTCTAAAATATTTGACTAAAATTCATGCAAATCAGCCTTGAAGTACCCAACCACCGTGAAGGAGCAACAAACACACAAACTTTCGCATTTATATATTAGTAGTCGATTCAGTATGGTTTTGACTATTTTAAAGCTATTTGGCGTATGCTACATGCAAAAACAAGTACTAATAACTCAAGGCTATGACGCTACTTATCGCATGACAGCACTTTGTAATTTATAACTTTTTGATTATCTATCTACAGACCTCATCAAATTAATTGAGCTTAAGTTAGACACATCTAAGCGGTTTTGAGGAAAGATTTATTTTTACTGCAAAAAATAATTGGTTGATTAAAATAATTACCTATAGTTTGTAATTTTCAACATGATTACCACTTGCCTTAGGGTGGAGGAAAACATTATGGGTATATCTTCATATCTGAGAGAACCTAACAAGTTAAAAGAAAGCTGTTAAGTCAAGTCTCCCAACTCGCATTTGGCCAGTGTGATGCACTTAGGCCCCATCTCTCGTATTATCCCTGACACAATCACTCAAACTTTCGCAAGATAACGTGTAATAAATATATTAAATATAATACTCTATTTTTTGATTTTTTCGCGTATTTATTTTGATTTTTTGACGTTTATGAAAATGTTCAAAAATGAAATTAACAAATATTGTAAGGTACTTTGGTGCCATTTTGTGTTTTTTGAATTCATTTTGTTATTTTGTGGGTAGGTGGTCTGTAACAACTATACATTATATAATGCCTTTGAGTCATCTTAAACCTTAGTATCTCCCGTGACCATGATTGCTGTAAAGCATTCGAAACGTCGGGAAGCAAAAATCAAAATAAGTCCGCGAAAATATCCGAAAAGATAGTTTTATTTAAAATATCAAATATTTGCGTAAATCTAAGAAAGTATGGTGTGATAAATATATTTTATTAATAGGTATGGTCAGCATATATCATGAGTTCATTTTCCGTTTATTAAAAATCATCATATCTTATTTTTATCACGGTAATGTGTTTTATTATATATATATATATATATATATATATATATATATATATATATATATAATAAAAAAGTAAGTTGAAGTAGCAGAAAACAGAATCCTTATAAGTATGTATGTATACTTATATGAATATGTAGATATGTATAAGCATGTTTTGTAGACGACATGACTCTCGATCCAAAACCTCAATCACTATCGGAAGTTCGCTACATTACTGATCTAACGAAGTGGAAATTCTTTACCTCTTTGATAATGATCATTGATAAACTATAAACTTATACTATTTTTATGAATATGTGACACAATACAGACATATTGTCCATGCCTTTTATTGATCTCTATATATATTTTGCTGTGATTATAAATAATTAAAATCCATTCTGTTTAAAATTATGCGAACATTTTAGACGTACAATGTTATTTTACAATTTTCCCTCTGAGCAAATCAAAATGGAAGCATATACGAGTACTTTCTATTTGTTTTCGATAGATGTAGAGTATCACTTCATTGAATATTAATTTAAGAGGCCGTACAAGAGTCAAAAGCGTAATCTCTACCAACATGTTTGGATTACTTATTAATTTTCATCTGATTTATTAATTATTCATTTTTATTGCATTATTTATTTTATTATACACCGGGGAGCTTGTAATATTATTATTTTTTTCTCAAATTTACGCGAATATTTGGATACAACTAACTTTTCGTATTTATTTCGCTTTTTGATTTACTTTTGGTTTTATTTTACAGCAATCATGGTCACGGGAGAGACAAGGGGACTTAAACAATATGTCATACGATCGTGGTTAATGAATATATAAAAAAAAATACTAGCAGAACCCGTGGCTTCGTTCGCGCAATAGACAAAAATTACAAAAAGATCGTGCGCTAAAACTACAAAAAAGGTAGTTTCGTACCAACTTTCATCCCCTATTTTACCCCCTTATGGGATGAATTTCGAAAAATGTTAAAACACGTATTTATTTAATTTTATTAAAGAGCAATAATACCAACTTTCAAGTAATTCTGATCATACATATTTTTATGGATTGTACTATAACGTGTAACCTCCCGCGGTAAAGTACGCTATGTCACTCTCCAGCCCTCCAAATATCTCCACATAAAAAATCACGTCAACCCGTCACTCCGTTTCGACGTGAAAGAAAGGCAAACAAACAAATATACAAATAAACAAACACACTTTCACGTTTATAACATTAGTATGGATGCCAAATCGTATTTTTCTAGATCTCAATACTTCAACGATTGTAGTATAGAGTAGAATAACATCTATCATTATCGTATAGTTAACAATATTAACTTAATTATGTTGTTAACTGTAATTAAATGACATTACAGTTAGTATCTTAACGCGCTGATTCATCTAGGTCTTTCGCCCACCAGCCTATAGATTAAAGAGGTCAATTGACGAATTAACCAATTAATATAGAGCATTAGATAGGCCTTAAGCTTAATGGCAATTAATAATAAAGATATTTACAGTTCAGCTAAGATGGCGAAATCTTAGTCATAATAATTTAAATAAAAATGAGTTGGACATCTACAGATTAAGTTTGTTTTAGGGTTCCGTACCCGAAGGGTGCCAACGGGACTCAATTACTAAACCCCCGCTGTCCATCCGTCTGTTCGTCCGTCTATACGTCAGCGGGCTGTATCTCATGAACCATAATAGAGAATTGAAATTTTTACAGAATGTATATTTTTATTACCGCTAACAAATAATAAAAAACCGACCATTACATAGTATTTTTATAGCGCTCTTCTTGTTTCTTTTACTAAAATATTTAAAAAGTACAAAGTATTATCTTGTGCGATGATACCGAACTTTTTTTTAGGTGTTTTAAGGTTTTAAACTATTAAATATTAAATGATGACAGCAATCTATACCTATGGACTATGGCCTGATCCTCGTATTAAAGGGAGGCCAGTGCCCAGCTGTGGGACGTTAAAAAAAGGGCGGAATACATACAATCTATATCTACTTTAATTTTATAAAGTTGAAGGAATGTGTTATTGTTTGTTTGAACGTATAAATTTTTGAAACTACAGTGAAAGTTTTATAGCTTATTTATAAAGTAAATATTAGCCTACACGAGCAAATCGGCGGATAAAAACTAGTCTAGTTAACAAAACTCGAATATATACTGGCTGGTAGTGTATACAGAAGTGGGTCTAAAATCTACATAGTTTCCACATCCTTACATATCTAAGAAGATGAGAACTAAAGAAGAAACAGGAGCTAAAAATTGAATGAAGTTTATTCCACGCTTTATAATGTGAATTTCAAACTTTGTGTCAAGTAACATAATACGAGTATACATTGATTTTTTTTACTCAGCCTTGATCGCTTTGTTTTTATATATATTTTTTTTATATTTATTTTTTATATTATTATTCGTGCTGTAAATATGCAGGCAGTTATGAATTTATATGATCAGATCATCCTTTGATCGTATTTTGCTTGAAATATATTTGTTTAAGCCAGTTCCATATTTTTACATAACCGTCACCAAACAACAAAGTTACATATTACATGCTTACAAATAAATTTTAAAAAATAACTTATTAATTACTAATTTTTTAACCTATGTTTGAAAACTCGTGAGTCCTTTATAGCAATTTTCTTAGTTACACAAAAGGATACATTATATATATATATATATATATATATATATATATATATATATATATATATAAATATATATATATATATATATATATATTAAAATCTACAACTCGAAAAAACTTATAAATTCGTAAAATATTTCTACATTATTATTTGCTTGCGAAAGTCTAAATAATTGTTCCTATGTATATTTTTCGCCGATCTTAATATAATATTCAAAGTATTGACTTGTTTTGATTATCTGCATGTAACAGTCAATTATTAAAATCAGTGTTCTCCGAACATTCTTAAGTAGAACCAATCACAAGTTACAATAATTGTCCATAACAGGACTCAAATCTGCTACCCACAACTTACGAACGCGTTATCCAACCACTACACTATATTATGTTGAATAATATACAGTAATAAAACTTAATACAAATTTAAAATACCAGCCATATACTTATTTCATATATACATAAAGTAAAACCGCAACCACAAATCATATTGCATTACCGCGATCAAATTCCAACAACACACCAAATTAATTCACTATCTATTTTCAGGGTTCAAAGAAAACGTCTCAAAGGCATGGAAACGAAGAAAGAAATTAATCTAGACTCAATACTAGAAAGTCTTGGCCCGTACGGACGATACAATCTATTAAACTTCGTACTACTACTCTTCCCTGTGCTTTTAAGCAGCTTCTTTGAGTGCGGTTTCATTTTTGAAGCCCAAGAACAAACTTACAGGTAATTTTACTAAGAGTTTTTGGTATAACAAACTATCTTGAGATAATTTTTTTAGTGTATAAAGTAGCGAACTTAGAGATGAGATATTTTCCCGTAGTTAAAAGTATCCTACATATTGACCAGGGTAACCAGCTCTGATCATACCAAATTTCATCAAAATCTCTCCAGTGGTTTTTCCGTGTTGCGGTCACGGACAGACAGACAAAAATTATAATAACCATAATAATGTCCATTTCAGTAAGATTTTCCAAAAATATTTAATGTACAAATAACTAAGCCGACTTAGTTACGATTTGATTATATGTATAGATAAGTGCGAAATTGTAAATATACATGTGTGTATGTTTGTTGCTCCTTCACGCTTAAGCGGCTGGACGGTTTTGGATGAAATTTAGTACGCAGATAGATTATGGATTGAAGGAACCACCACCACCTTTTGCCAAATTTTATAACTAAAAATAGCATATTGGCTACTGTTAGTATTAAAAATTGCCATAAGGTGGCGCTACCTGAATATAAACATAAAAGGCGCACTCTCTTGTATATTATACGTACAAATGGATTAATTACTAAGAGAGGGTTTTTTTTAATTTGAATCTAACATTTATTAAAATAACAAACTCATAACCCTCCTTTGGGCTTCGTCGCAATCGGATATAAAAACCATCTGCATCACGCGAAACCATTCACACATACAAAACATTCAGATCTTGAATCACTCTATCTATTGCTGAAACTACATTAAAGTCTGTTGCGTAGTTTAAAAGATCTAAGCGTACAAAAAGCGGGAGCGACTTGGTTTTATACTATGTATAGATTAATAATATCTAAATAAATTCTAGTATTTTCTATCAATAATTGCTACAGTAATATATGACTAAACATTTAAAGTATTTACATATAATGTATATGCAACGATGTATGATAATACGCAACACTTTAAAGCGTGACAATAACTTATTAGCTTTAATCAAACATTATTACTCTCATCAATCTAAATGTCTGTACATTTATTGTAATAAACTATAATAATACTTTTAAAATCAAGTACTGCGGTAAAATCCATTTTTTTCTTCCTACCTCATATATATACTTGGCTTATGGCGAAAAAAACCGTCGCGAGTAAACCTGCATTTCTGAAGGAACCTAGAAAATTTTAGAAAAACATGTGAAGTCCGCCAATCCTCACTTAGCCAGCGTGGTGGACTATGACGTAGTTCCCCTGGTCCAGCAGTGGGTCATTAAAAAGGGCTTGATACAATATTTCATTTAACACATAATATGTATATCCAAACAAAATGTGTCCCGATTGTACTGGTCTACGAAGGTCGAGGATGTCGTAGACTACGTCCAGAAGAGGTCCAACTTCAAATTGAGGGTTGAACGGTTGGTACCTCACCACAAAACGAGTTTCAATTCGTTTTTGGTGAGAGTGCCGACTCGTCTGCCAACCTTCATGAAGGAGGACTTCTGGCCGCAGGGCGTCGTATTTCGGAAGTTCCGAGGCCGTTTGCCCGCCGACACAGCTCACACGTCTGCACTACGTGTTAAATAGTTTAAGTTTTTATAGTTAATATATGTATATGTTAGTTTTAAGGTATATATTATGCTCTCGGCCTCTGTTTACATATTTAAGATCTTTTTGTAAATATTGCCTTATTAAATGATTAAATTAAATTAAAAAAAATTAAAAGTTTAATATCATCTACATATATTCTAGTAAAATTATTTGAGCTATGGTTCAATATTAAACAATAAGTCGTCACGTACTGACGGTATTGATTTTCATATATCTATCTGATAACTGATTGCTTCACGCTTATCAGCTACTATAATGATTAGACTATATGTATCTGTTTAAACGTGACTGTACACGAAAGATAATCGTTGTTTTAATCATCTTCTCGATATTATTTTAACATATATTATAATATTTAATAAAGGCTAGTTATTATCTATCCCTTCTATAAGTGCTTCAGCTTTACTCAAAAGAAAAAAAAATCCTATTTGTATAAAAATTGTACAAAATTAAAACATGAAACTTAGACAAGAAGACATGTACAATGGCTAAAAACTTTCTTTTTTCTGAAAACTTGTAATAATTTGACAAAAAATAATTCTTTTGATCTTTAAATGGTTTAAAATTATGTAGTAGTCCTAGCGACTTACGTTTTAATGTTTAGTATAGATTTCTCAGAGATAATATATTTTCCCGCAGTAAAAAGTATCCTATTTGTTGACCCGGATTACCAGCTATCGTCATACAAAATTTCACCAAAATCTGTCCAGAGGTTTTTTCGTGATGCGTTCCCAAACAAAGATTTTCCAAAAAATATTTAACGTACAGATTCGACTCAGTTAGAATTTTGTTATATGTATAGATAGATTAATTAATCTAAAATGATCTTTTATCATTCATTCGGTCATTGGTCACTTTGTTAGTAATTTACTTGTATTATTTATTATAGCTTCTATTCATTGACTTTCGAAATATTTATTGTTCGTAAAATGCTAAATCATAAGTCACGCCTCACCTTGAACTAAACAGAAAATATGTGAAAATTTGTATACACGGTCAATAGTCATATCTATACACTAGCATTGCCCGCGGCTCCGCCCGCGTTTTCATGACGAAAAACCAAATTCTTAGGTTTTACATATTGAATACTCTTACATTGCAGTTTTTGTATTTTTTCTCAGAAATGAGATATTTTCTCGCGGTAAAAAGTATCCTATATGTTGACCCAGATAACCAGCTATCACCATACCATCAAAATCCCTCTAGTGGTTATTCCGTGATGCGGTAACAAACAGACAGACAAAAATTCTAAAAACTATAGATTCGGCCTCTGTATCGATAATAATGTCTATTTCAATAAGATTTTCTAAAAACTATTTAATGTACAGATTCGGCTTACTTACAATTTTATTATATGTATAGATATGACAAAACCTAACCGTCACACTTTTCAACTAGAACAGAGTAGCGACGAATTTTATTACATTAACCTTTGTATGAATTAATTTAACAATGTACTGTTGATGTAATTCATTAAAATTGTTAATTTTATTTAATTACTTGTGACTTACACTTGCTTCTCTCGGTTGAGTTTCTACGTAGGTATAGGTATCAAACAATAGCCTCTAGATTATTCTAGGTCTTTATACTATGACCTAAATATATAGGCTATTGTGTCACGTATTTGGGCAAAATAACAAATCCGATATAAACGGCTGACCGTTTCAGCGTAAAGTGACAAAAACATACATACACATACACACAAACATTCGTAAAAATAATAATTGTTATTTAGACAAGCTGACCTCGCAGACGTTGATGTCCAATTTTTTTTTATTTGTTACTAGCGACTCATACTCGCTTCGCTTGGGTTCGTCCCTAGGTACCTTCTGATTTTTTTGAGTGGAACGCTAATTCTTTTTCTAAAATAAAAGTAGCCTATGTTACTCCCTAAAACATCAGCTATCTTCCAGTGAAAGTTCCGTCAAAATCAGTTTAGCCGTTTCAGAGATTATCCGGAAATAACAGACACACAGACAAAAATTAAAAAAAAAATGTTTTTCTTATAAGTGTTGTACATAATTTCATATGCATTTAGTAAAACGCTGTTATTTTGACATTACAAACAGACACTTCAATTTTATTTATCTGTATAGATTTTTAAATATCCTTGCTCACCGTGGCATTAAAGTATCACTTCAAATACCTTCAGTATTGATACTAAGAATTTCGTAACACTACACTTGGTTTGACCTCGGACCTGAACCCAAGACCTTAGGATCTGCAGGGGAACATGCTAGCCATTAGCTAGAAAAGTGAAGCATATAAAATGCACAGTTGTTATCATACGCACCAAGGGCGTGACCCAGTGGTAAAAACAAAAAAACAGACAGCGCGAGTCTGATTCGAACACCGAGGGTTCCGTAGGATAACACTTTTGTTTTATTTTAACATACTAGTTTGTTACGTCAAAAGTAACATAAATCATTTACGTATCTACCATATCTATTTTATAGATGTCATAAATAAGTTGATATTTCCTAGTAATACTATGACAAAGTTAATTTTGCGGCTTAACGCGTGAAACGGAAAATATCTCATATCTCCAAAATTACTCAACATATCTTCTTCAAAATAATTTTCGTTAAAAATATTTTTAAAGATCTATTATCTCAAATTATCCAGAATTATCTGACCAATATTGTTAAATTTAGATTGAGATATTAGAGGGGTGAGGACTCAATATTTACTTTAAAATTATCCAGTGAGGGTGAGGAGCGCCTTCCCTATTTTTTTTTAATTTGACTACAGAATTGTCTAGCATGAGACACTTATAAAATTTCAACAATATAGCTCCAATAATCCTATATTTAGATATTTATAGACATTTGGATAACCTTCTAGTAGGCAGACGGACTAACAGACAGACATGGTTAAGTTATAAGAGTTCCGTTTCAGGCATTTGGCTGCGGAGCCCTAAAAACACGCTATGTTTTTAGGCCAGCATGAACTTACATACATTATTTATGTACATAATAAAACAATAACATATTTTGCGAAGCATCTTGAATATTAATTGATTTTAAGTTTTTTGCATTATACGAAGCAATAAATAAAGGACGTAAGGAAAGGAACGGTTGGGTTTCGTTTTTATAGTTGTTTTATTACTTTGTCGCGTCAAATTTTACTATTGTTTTAGAGGCTTTTAGATGTAATAAAATGAAGTTTGATGTATATGTGAGGTGTATAATGAAAAGAATTTAGTTAATAGTCCATCATAAATTGTAGAGCCTTACACAACGTTTATTTAATATGAATTCCACGTTTACATTTATGTATAATACGTGTATATATTACGAAAATCTACTGGAATAATCATATGCGCGTATATTCGAAGGTTTTACTAGTAGCCATTGAGAAGTTCTAATATACACCTTCTGACTGCACCAGATCATTTGATTCAATCAATTGATTGATTGATTGATTGATCAATTAATCAATTTGTTGTATTCATATAAAAATATATAATTGTGGTATGTATCTAATCTAATCTATACTAATATTATAAAGAGGTAAAGTTTGCGAGATTGTGAGTTTGTGACGTTGTAGGGGGTAATCTCTGGATCTACTGAACCGATTTAAATGAAAGGTAAGAAAATAGTTTGAAACCCTGGGAAGGACTTACGATACTTTTTATCCGGGAAATCATCCTTTAAGGCGTGAAAATGGGGATGAAAGTTTGTATGGGAAATCAAGCTAGGGACGAACCCAAGCGAAGCGAGGGTGAGTCGTTAGTCTAATATAAACTGCTTCTAAATTCAGAGTATTTCATACATTAAATACGTCTATATATGATACGTTCACGAATAAATTACATACATCCAGTTCCTAAACCTGTGAAGCTAAGCACTTCATCATTTCGCCCTTTTTAGCATTCCACGAGCGCAAATGTTTACCTTTACATGTAGAGGATGTTTTCAAAAATGCACAATTTTATTTTCAGATGCAAAATCTATGGCTGCGAGGAACGATTCAACGACACATCATGGCTGCAATATGCTATACCGACAAACACTGAAAGGAATAGACCAGAATCGTGTAAAAGATATGCATATTACAACGTTTCCAGTTTTCAATGTCTGCCTGAACAGTTTTCCAATATCACCGTACCTTGTGAGAGCTACGTCTACGAAGAAGGAGAGTCGTTTGTAAAAGAGGTAATAATGACATTTATATATAGCTCTAGCGACTTACACTGGCTTCATTCAGGTGTAAAGTGACACATATACGTACATACATTCACTATTAGGTATCTAAATTACTTACTGTACTGTATCTGTGGTAATAAATATCAACTTATCTTACATCAAATGCATGTCAAAGTGTTAAAAAAACTACGTTGAATGCATACATTACAAACACACTGACAACCAAGTACCTTATATGTATGTATAATTATAATCGTAGTCGAAAGTTTGAAGGTTGTTTCGAATATTTTACTAGAATTTTATCATACACAACTTTTGTATTTGCATTTTTAAATACTTATAAGAGTAAATGAGATTTTATGAATTATGAGCTAAAATGAGATGTTAAGTAATTTCTCAAGCTTAAGAGGTTTTTGAGTTGCTTTAACAAATGCATATTTATCATTTTATAACCTTCGTAATAAAATATAACGTAATTTATTTTCATCTGTTATGGGTTATGTGCCAAATATTAGAATTAAACTTATTTCTTTTTTGTAGTTTGACTTAGGCTGTCAGGAATGGAAAAGAGCACTTGTAGGAACAGTCCACAATTCTGGAATGTTTGCTGCGATGCTGGTCACTGGAGCTATATCAGATAAATTTGGCAGGCGAGTAGCAGTTGGTATGGCGGCCACAGCTAGTTTCATATTTGGCGTAGCGAGAGCATTTTCTCCAGGATATATAACTTACCTCACCTTGCATTTCTTAGAAGCTGGTTTTGGAGGTGGCTTATACCCATCTGCTTATGTTTTAGGTAAGTGCTGGTTTTTAAATTATCATATTCAAATATAGATGATAAGCTTTGTTTTAGGTAGATATTTTTAATATCATTGTTTATTGCAATTACTTTTTGTAAATATTCGTCACTTATCTATATTGATAAAATTTATTTATATTGTTCTTAATTAACTTACAATTCACTCGTTGTTATTCTACTGAACAAATAAATCTATATAGATTTTTATCTGAAGCTTAACTGAAAATATTGGCAAAATATATGTTATATCCGATAACTATATACTCAGTAAACATAATAAAATAAAATATTATAGTTTTCTAATTATGTATTTTTATTTCAGCGGTAGAATTAGTTGGCGTAAAACAAAGAGTATTCGTCTCAGCAATGTGCAATATGACATTTGTGGTGGGTGTAGTTCTCATAGCACTCCTTGCTTGGTTCGTCAACAACTGGAGGACTTACATTCTCATCTTATACACTCCTGCGATAATTGTCGGAGTATACGTATGGTTTATGAATGAAAGTGCTCGATGGCTACTCAGTAAGGGTAAAAAGGATGAAGCAGTTTCGACACTAAAGAAAGCCGCTAAAATCAACAAACTCGATCCCCGAAAATTGGAACTAGATTCCTTGAGTGACCCATTACTAAAACCAGAAAACCAAACAGAGGATAAGAAATCTCAATTTTCGAAAGCGATACGTTCTAGCATCATTTGGAAGAGATTGCTCATATGTTCATTTTTATGGTTAACTTGTTCGTTAGTTTATTACGGTCTGTCAATAAACTCAGTGTCTCTCAGTGGAAACAAATATGTCAGCTTTATGTTGGTGGTGCTAGTGGAAATACCAGCGTATATAGTGGTTGTGATTGTGTTAGACAAATATGGAAGGAAAAAGACAATGATAGTGACTTATTTGACATGTGCAGTAACCAGTCTACTCTTCGCTTTTCTACCGAGATGTAAGTATTATTTTGATCTACTATGTGGCTTACTTAATTAATTTAATATCCTTATCCTTAAATATGGATTTATAATATAATAATCCTTTTTTCTAACGTTCCACTGCCGGACATGGGCCTTCAATCAATGTGGGTAGGATCAGGCCATGATCCACCACGCTAACCAAATGCGGGTTGAAGGACTTATATAAATTCGTCGTTCGAAAACTAGTTACGACACGTTCTTTACCACATTTATTTTATGTTAATTAGCAAATGCTTTTCTTGTTAATGATACACACATAAAAATTCCAGAGGTGCGAAGCCCAAGTAATTACTTGATGTATCTTAATAAAAGTATTTTCTGTTCCTTTTAAAACTTCAGTGTGCAGCCAATACTTTTACTTTGATAACAATAAAGATATAAACCAGTTCCTACAAGACCAGTAAATAATGGGGGGAAAAATATTTGTACAGTTATTTACCCCAAGTGGGAGTCGAACTCGCGATATCTACAGCTATATCTCAAGCTAAATTTCATAAAGACATAAGTTTTCCTTTGTCGACATTCTGTTAATTTATTTTGTATACCATATATGTATTTTATGGTACATAAATAAATTAGACTAGTTGTATATATTTAAACAATATATTAGCAAATAAATTAAATAAATAAATGATTACTATATTAAGCCATGATTAAAAGTATGATGATAAAAACTAAAATAATACAAATATGTACATATCAAAAAAATATTCCGCAACACGTTCACTATAAATGATACATACATAATCTGAAAAGTATAAATAAACTTATTATACATATATATATATATATATATATATATATATATATATATATATATATATATATATATATATATATATATATAGTATAGCATTCTTTAGTCCATATTTACTATATCTTATCTATAAATACTTTAATTAATGATTTCTTTCGAAAACAACACAATACGATAGTATACGAAATATTCAAAAGGTTCTGCAGTATTTTCCATTATTATATTATGTATATCTGTTTGAATACGTTAATCACCGGAATAGATGGACCGATTTTAAGGAGATTATGACTATTGTATAGATATCAGAATTGGCTTTGCGATTCCTTATCGACACTTTTTTTTAATATTATAAATGTGAAAATGTGTTTGTTTGTTTGTCCTTCTTTCACAACGAAACCGAATGACGGATTGGTGTCATTTTTATGTGGAGATACTTGGATGGCTAAAAAATGACATAGGCTACTTTTTATCGCGGGAGATTATCTCTTTCCTACGGGAAAGCACGGTATAATACAACTCAAAAAATATTTATGATCAGAATTACTTGAAACTTGTTCAATACAATTAAATAAATATATGTTTTAGCATTTTTCAAAATTCATCCAATAAGGGAGTAAAATAGGGCATGAAAGTTTGTATGAAACCTACCTTTTTGGAGATTTTTTTTGTAGTCTTCACATTTCACCCCTACACACACATGAATAATTATTAACTTCGTATACATTCGGATAAATGCTTATATAACTAACACATATCAGCAACTAACCACTCTAAGTTTACATATGGACAAATTAATTTTATTAAGTAAAAAAACTATAAGTACACGTATAGACTTTTAATGTTATTAAGTACAATGGTTCTCTTTAAGCAGAACTCTAAAGCATATTGAATAAATCTGACTGTTCATTGACCCAGATTTTTTTATTTCGTAAGTGTCACACGTGTATTATTCTATGGATATTCTTCTAAATACGAGTATTATTCGATGTATAAAACGCGTTTGATTTTATTAACAAAACGAATATTGTCTTATTAGAATTTTTGTCTCCTACAGATTCTATATTTATCAAAGTTATTTTGGTCACCACCTGTCGCAATAGAATCGTGTCTAAATAATAAATTGCAGGTTCGACTCCCGCTATGAACAATTATTTTTAGCCTGTCAATCATTTCCAGTTGGTGACACGGAGTTCAATAAAGGCCACTTACATATTATTTGAATGCGGAACGCTATTTTGTTATTTTTTTATACTCACTTTAATTAAGTAAAAAGGTTTTAGAAAATTCAACATGTAAAGGAATTAAATAGAGAATATAAGTTTATATCGAAGTTCATTATTTTTGAAGTCAAAATAAACGGTTTTGAGACTTGTCATAGTATTTATAATTATGGCTAACTTTTGCCTAAGTTAATTTAATTACAAAAATGTTTACCACATCCTTATTTAAACTAAGCGTTCTGCAAGAAGGCATAGCATTTTTAAAGAAATCTTATTTGTATGCAGCTGACTGGTGGTCCATCCCACTATATCTCATCGGCAAGTGGAGTGTCACGCTGACATACAGCTCGGTCTACATCTACGTGTCCGAAGTGTTCCCAACCAATATGCGACAGACGTTGATAAGCGTTTGCTCCACCGCTGGAAGGATTGGCTCTCTTATCGCACCTTTGACGCCTTTACTGGTAAAATTATTATATTTTTTGTGTATATAAACAAACAGAAAACGATAAGTCTGTTGTTTTCGTATTACATAATATGTATCTTATAAATAATAACTAAAAACAGAAGAAAAACTGACTTTGTTATTGTTTATCTGATTCAAAATGTTTCAAAATACTCTGTACTATTAGGTGTAAAAGTCGAATCCCGACTCGCAGGACTAAAAGTAAACTAAAATTGTTGGTAGCCATGCATGCGGCCATTACTATGATAATTAATAACTCTAAATTGACATTCTTGAAATATACTAACACATTTGCAAGCTATTTCCAAGAATGTTACTGATGACTAGCAACTCACTCTCGCATCGCTTAGGTTCGCCTCTAGGGAAACAAAAAACATACCTATCCCACGGGAATCGTACATTTTTCCGGGATAAAAAGTATCCTATGCGTTATTTCAGACCATAATTAAGAACACTTTACCGTGTTAAAATATATCATTTCTGAGAAAAAATACAAAAACTGCAATGTAAGAGTATAATTAATATGTAAAATCTAAGAATTTGGTTTTTGGTCATCTGAACGCGGGCGGAGCCGCGAGCAATGTTAGTTTGAGTTAAAGTTTAAGTAAAGCGCGAGCAATGTTAGTTTAAGTTAAAGTTTAAGTTAGTTATAATATTAGTATAGATATCTAACAAATTTTAATTTTTATTTTTGTAGTCGGTGTATCACAGATCGATGCCTACAGTGATATTTGGAGGCATGTGCTTTTTCTCCAGTCTTCTAGTTCTCATGCTGCCTGAGACGAGAAATATGAGGCTACCCGACACCATCGAAGAAGCGGAAGAACTTTCTCGAATGAAAGACAAGTCTGACGACATGTAAACCAACGGTAATGAGAAGAGTGTACAATGTACATACCTTTGGATCCTGGTCCTTAAAAATTGTATTTTTTATAAAAATCGCGTTTTGATTGAAATACAATCATGTAATAAATATGTCACATAAGTTATGATGGAAATATTTGATATAAATATTAAACTTCGCATTTGACTGAATTTAAATAAAAAAATTCCACATCTTAATATACTTTGTATGATGTTTCTTAGCTTGAAATCTAGATGTTATTTGAAAACTTGTTCTTTTATGTACTGGTGCTTATAAAATGAATCCTTTTTAATAAGTTTTTGAATGGCATTTTTATCTTTTTCTTTACGTCCGCATCATAAAAGTGACAATTCTCTTCATATTATTCTATTGTTACAACATTGTTTCGTGCCTTTAATAAACGAACAATGTTTGAATGAATGAATAAATGAATTACTCTTTATTGTACACCCAAAAGAGAAAAAGAAAATATACATAATATAGAAGAAGGTACAAGAGGCGGACGTATCGCTAAAAAAACGATTTATTCCAGGCAACCTTTAGGTGTGTAGGAAATAGTACTAAGATAGAAGGGGCGCGAATAACAAATAAAGAGACAGTAGAAAGATTATATATTTATACATATACGTATCATACAAATATATAATATATACAAAATAAATACAAGAAAAATATAATTAACCAATACCTAAATACTATAACTACATATATAAATACTATACCTATATTATACATATATAAATATAAAATATAAAAAGGCAAGTTTAGCAAGAATTATACTAAAGTTCATAAAGATAACAATAATACATACTAATAACAATACATTCAATAAAGAATCTTCTTTGAAGTGGTCCTTTAGACGTTTTTTAAATATTTTTAGCGATTTCGCATGCCTGACAGACAGACACCCTTCCAAATGAATAAGACTTAATATTCTGCTTATAAACATTACTCTAACTTTATTTTCACCACGTACCTTTAAATATTTTTACGTATATTACGTATATTTTATAATAAGTTTTGTGAATTTTCATAGTGTGTACTTACAAATTTAATTTTTATGCTAACATATGACAATATTATGTGAGCAGTAAATTGGAAATATTTTTATTTTTATTTTTCGGAAAATACTTAATACAAAAATGTTTTTTTTTCTTAAATAACCAAATATGTCATATTTTTTATAACGATTAATGCATAATTATACAGTCAGGTGCTAAAAATGTTCTAAAATGTAAGTTTTTTGTTTCATTCCTATTAATTTTCACTACATTGCATTACACGACTTAAAGTTTCTGAATATGATCTAACTCAAAACTTATAACGTACTTAGAAATAACACTAAGCCGTAATAATAAATTTATATAATGCACTTTTAGCTCGTATGTTTAATTTTGATTTTTTAAGTTTTGTTTAAACATCGGTGTAAAAAATATTTTATAATTATTATTTTTTAATATTCAATTTATGATTTTACAATAGTGCCTATATATACTACTGATATTTTAATTAATTTTAAACTATGACAGAAAAATGTATCAACGCAACAGTTTTCAATTTACAATAATTAACAATAATAAACTTCTATTATTCCGGAAACTTTTACTAACAAATATAATTTATTTTGTTACTAGCCGACCCGATAGACGTTGTCCTGTCCAAATTTAATTTAATTTTTCCTTAAAAAAACCCTAAAAGTGACCCATAAGTTCACAAAAAAATCATCAAAATTGGTCTAGCTGTTTAGGAGAAGACGAATTATGCACACACACATAATTTTTATATATTAAGACCCATTAAAGATGGGTGACCGCTCAGTAACAACTAAACGAATCCAGTAGTTATCAATATTAGTGGTTATGCCATGTCATAGGGCAAAGAGCTTAATTCGGCCATCAAAAAGTGACTCAGACAGATGACCTTCTATGAATAAAGTTATCTGTATACACGTGATAAATTAAAAATTTAAAAGCCCACGACCATCTTGGACGGATTTTCATCAAACATAGCTAAGAACACTCGACTAATTCACTTTTCAAACAAACAAAACGGAATCCAAATCGGTTCATCTTTTTGAGAGCTAAGATTCTACAGACACACACACATAGACACGTCAAACTTATAACACCCATTCGTTTTTGCATTGGGGATTAAAAATAAACGAAAATGTTGTTCATAAGCAAACTAAGTCGAAACTAAGCGCTTCATTTGAGAAGTTTTTTTTTAATTATCGTAATTGTTCTAATAAGTATTTTATGGGAAAATATTATTAGTAAAAGCTCGAAAAATAAAATATTAAAATAAGTACGTTTTATATACTTGTTTTTTTTACTTTTATATGACTCAACGATCATAAACAAAATTGGACAAAACAACGTCTGTCGGTCAGCTAGACTGATATAAAAATTAAATCGATTTCCAAGTGGCTGGATTATAAAATGAAATAAATGAATGAAAATTAATAGTATAATGCAGACAAAATTAAATGTATTATATATAGTGGAAGGGTTTGTCCCTTCCACTTATACGGAGGATTATAAATAATAACAATATATAATAGTAATGTATGTCTAATAGAAAAGACAAATATATATTATATACATTAAAATCACATAAAAGGTTTTTTTTTTATTTTCATGTTTAGAATTTTTTACTGTTTATCTTAAAGATATAACATACTAACGGCTCACCCTCGGTTCGCTCCGGTTTGCCTCTAAAAACAAAAACAAATCTATCCCACGGGAACCGTACATTTTTCCGAGATAAAAAGTAGCCTGTGTTATATTCTGATGTATGAGCTATATTATTGTAAAGTTTCATTAAAATCCATTCAGTAGTTTTTGTGTGAAGAGTAACAAATATCCATATATCTATACAATTATAGACATCCAGGCATCTTTACAAACTTCCGCATTTATAATATTAATAGGATTCAATAAAAATATTAAAATCACAGTTAATACAAAAATCACGTAATATATTCGTACCAAATAAAAGTCCACCGAAAAAATTTGGATTCAGTCAAAAATTTGACAACAAAAGATTACCGCATTTGTTATTCTTATAGTATCCAAGACATTTATGAACAGTATTTTAGTGAAGTAAGAAAGTTGTATAAAAGAGTGGGACCAGTTAACAAAATATAATTATTTCGTAAATCTTACTTAAACTTAACTTATTTTTTTCAGGAAACTGTTAATAATGAATACTTAAGTTAACACTTGATTTAGTCAATATTTACAGAAATATCTTTTTTTTTGTTATGTTGCCAATTAAACTAATCATAGTTATTTTTCTTCAAAATGTACTGTATCAGAAACCTTTTTGTATCACTGGGATAAAATTTACGCTTTTTGTTAGCCTTTAGCCTTAATATTTTATTTGTATATTTTATCACATTGTCAACCTACGTTTTTCACAATAAAGAATTTTTAATGAAAGCGTTTCAATTCATTCAAGTTAATTGTTCAATCATTTTTAGTTGTTAGTCATCGGCGAGATGCAGTGCGGGTTCGATGCCTGCAAGATGCTGCTAGAGAATAATGCAGATCATTCTTCTAAATTCTCAATAGTTTGAAGTTACTTGTTTTATATACTTGTTTCACTTTATGTATTACTCAAAAGCGACTGAAATGGTTGTTATAAATTACTAGCATTGCCCACGGGTTCGCCTGCGTGTTTTTACTAGAATAACTCATCTTCATATTTCTAGTAGAAAAAACATGCCTATTCACCATCTATCTTGCTTTGGTCTGCCTTTTACTACTTTATAAGTTAAGTTTTTCAAGATATGATTTTCGGCAGTGAATATATTATGACCTATCGCTTTTTTATCGCCATAGAACCAACGTGGCTGTACGTACTCTCCGAGGCACGGGAGTGTACTACTGACTACCGTCAACTCGCCAACTCTCTCTGCTACTGAGAATTTCATATCCACACAAACGTGCTTACATCCCCCCAAAGATTCGACAAATACTGTTAAGAAGTAAAATACATAAAAAGAATAAACACACTCTTGTTCTAGATAAAATAAATATGTAAGTGAATCCTAAGGGCTGCCATCTATACATATAATAAAATTGTAACTAAGTCGAATCTATACATTAAATATGTTTTGGAAAATCTAATTGAAATAGACATTATTATCGATACAGAGTCTGAATCTAGTTTTTAGAATGAGAATGTTTGTCTGTCTGTCTATCTGTTACCGTCTCACGAGAAAACTACTGGACAGATTTTGATGAAATTTGGTATGATGATAGCTGGTTATCCGGATCAACAAAGGATACTTTTTACCGCGGGAAAATGTCTCATTTCTGAGAAAAAATACAAAAACTGCATTGTAAGAGTATACTAATATGTAAAACCTAAGTATTTGGTTTTTGGTCATCTGAACGCGGGCGGAGCCGCGGGCAATGCTAGTTCTTCTATAAACTCAAAGTGAACAAAGACGATTAGTGGATAGTAAATATTTAAAAGGTTTTTTTCATTTTAGTATGAAATATGCATTTTAATATCGCTTCATATTAAACATCATCGCCTATCTTAAGAAGTCCGGTTTATATCATACGATATATACAATTTTCTCTTTCTTTTTAGAAAGAGTTTTCTTCTAAGTTATTCTTTCTAGTCTAATTTTTATTGAATAAAAATAATATAAAAGAGGGAGTTTTAAATATTCTTGCCATATTATGATAATGACTTATTGAAAAATCTTCATGACTTGCTTTGCTTACTCCATGTTCCATGTAGACTATCTACATTTTACCAAATGATTTCCGTAAGAAATAAAAATTGATATATAAACTTTTAAAGTACTTAGATTTTTTTATTCGCTTACAATGAAATTGATGTTGTACGCGCGCCGCGTACGATGACGGAAAACATCGTGAGCAAACCTGCGTGTCTGAGAGAACCTAAATAGTTTTCGAAAGACGTGGGTCCACCAACCAGCACTTGGCCAGCGTGGTGGACTATGGTCTGATACCCTT